GCAGTATACTCGTACTTTGATGGATAGTCGCATATCCTGCCGGCGCCAAAGATGACACAAGCATACCTTTTGTATTAGAGCTGAGATTTTATCAGCAACCATCTAGTTCAAGCTGATGCAACTCCTCAAATAAGTGAAGTGGTCGACGCATCATACTAATTCCCTCCTAATCCTTAAACTAGGGGTAATTACAGACCAGTAGTCCTGAAGCATCACCTTACATTTGACAGGTGCAAAATACATGTCAAACGTTCAAGGGTTTATGGAGTTCTTTAACCTGACAGACCGTGGTGACCACCGCCGATATCCACTGCCACTATTCGTATTTAACTTTGTAATAGATATACGAATGGCTGTGATATGATATATGGCTAACATTTTAAAAATTCGTGTGCACCTAGTCGTTTCAGAGCGCACAGAAAACATGCATCTCTTACGTAGAAACACTGGCAAAATGCAAATTTTTCTGAACATCTTAAGCAGAAGTCTGAACATGGTTGCCACCCGTAATCTAATTGTCAGATATAAGATCATGCTTCAGGATTGGTCTGCATGAACTCGTAGTCTGAGGTTAGTTGGTGACGTGCTGGAATATTTTGACAGCTTTCCTTGCTTGGGGAGTTGTATAGGCTTAATCCGTTGGTTGTTGACAAAATCTCAGCTGGGGTATACGAGGCCGATTTCGCAGTTTTTTAATTACTCAATATCTAACTACATACAAATGGATGAAATTACTGTGCAGGATTTTATTTCATCATATTATACGGCTAAGATATGGCCGTTGAACGCAGAATACATCAGGAGGCTACAGGACTTTGACCATATATTCCTGCGTAGAATTACTTGCGAGAGGTGGGACCACACTGTCAGTAGTGTTTAGGCTTGGTGTAGAGTACTGGGCGAAGAAGGCAAGCCAGTCGATAAGGTTTCGAAACTTCAGTGATTCAGATGAATTATATAACTGTTACATGTACTGAGTCACCACCAATCTGAATGCTCACTGTTAGCCAAAGTTGAATTAAGTTGAAGTAAGGCGGAGGTCGACCAGAACGAAACGTGATATTGGCTCCTAAAGTCTCTAGTTGGCCGTCTGAGAAGTGTAGGTTTCCTGGATGGGGGTCTTTGAGATATTAGCAATCAAAGGTTGAAGATTCTTCATGCTGTCTTTGAAAGTTGATCACAGTGACGCGCATTCACCTTTTATCCTGCTTGAAAACTTGAACATTTTATCTACTCTTATCTATTTATTTTTAAATTTGAGCTGAAAAAAATCTATCCAATGACCGTGAGCAGTACAGGCTAAATATAGAGAACGTAGGTATGATAAGTAATGGTACAAAATCATAGTATCAGTCAGTGAAGTCTCTAACTATTGTTCTGAGCCATATGGGCAAATGCAAACTTCCAAGTTGACGTCTACATGAAAAGCGAAGAAGATAATTGAATACTCTGGATGATGTTGCCTCAGAACCAACCTTAGTGGTGTAGGTGCAGTCACATTCCTTTTTCATAGTAATCTTCATTTCAGACTTCGTTATTTATCTTACCCCACGCCCTCTTCTCCTTTCCCAGTGACTGTCTATAGCTTTGGATATTTCTCCATTTCTTTCATTTTATTGCCTTCTATCTTGATGAGCTAATGTGGGGTATGGCAACTTGTGCCGTTTCGCAATAATGCGAAGCCCGATAGCGATAACGACTGACTGATTATTTTTCTTCTTTCATAATTTTTTGTTGAAAAATGTGTGATTTTGCCTGCAAACAATTCTCACCGGTGCTATTGTGAAATGTAATCAGGTATGCTATTCCAGGCTATATTTTACCCGTATTTATCCTATATTTATGCGTTTTAATTAGACCAGTTCCTCGTAATTATCTGGTACTAAGTGTCTACGGTAATGCTTAATGCAATTAAATCAAATACAGCATTAACTTTCAAAACCTTTGAAGTGTATATAGTTTGCTTCCAATGATTAGGAAAACAACCGTCGATAAACAAAGGCTTGCAGGTAACGGATAAAATGCTCTCCAGAAAGATTCATGCTTTTACCAGTGTTGTAACGAAAACTGGAATGTTTGTGAGTGTGTAGGGGGGGGGGGGGGGACGTGTTTCATTGTGATAATGAATTTTAATGAACTATCCATTAAACTGAATGGTAGAACAGAGTAATTACTTCACGACTCTGATACTACCGACTCTGTATGATGAACAAAACCCATTGAAATCAAAAGACCAAACATAACCTGGTAGGTATATGTTCTCAACAACATACAGACTTAAGAGGAAGACAAGAACAAGAGCAACGGGCAGTAATGAATTAGAATAGTCATTTATGTACAGAAATATGACAAAGGCAGAGTAATCATAATCTAACCTGCAACTAGCGAACAGTCACGGGTAACACGGAAATCGAGGGTCAGATGGCTGGAACATGTGTTACATATATCTAGTCACCATTAAACCTTATTGTTTCATTCCATCCTCTTTCTCTCTTTACGACTTTCTACCAATGACCGTTCCCTTCTTTATTTCTCCATCTTTTACTTTTCTTCCTTTTACTTTGATGTGCTGATACGAAGTGTGGTAACTTGGGATGTTACGCAGTAGTACCAAGCCCCATGTCCATGTTCCCTTACTGACCAGTTATATGAAGATCAGCAGCGGGTCAATAAATTTTTACCAATAAAAGTAAGGCTACACTTTTGTTCACTCTAACAACTAGCAAGGTATACACGTAACATCAACGAAGTTAAATGTCTATTACTTACTGTGGAAGAAACAATGGTCCTGTAATAACAACGACATTGTGTGTTTTCCTTGCAATTGCACGTATATACTTTTCTAAACTATTCCAACCATGTCGGTTGAAACCATGGCCGACCTAAATGAAAAGTGAAATAAGAAAGCAACATACAACATGTTTCGTCTCCTCAACAATGTGAATCATGACCCCTCCCAAAATCGAAACCAAGACAATCAGGTTCCGCGACTAGCACATTGCCATTGAGCCAATGGAACGAGATCCAATGGTACACATCTGCCTGCTTCAGTCAGTTCACAATATAGCGTGACCTCTATCCAATGCTATCGCTGATTAACTGTCTTCCGTCTAACTTGATTTATAACACTGGCCATGACTTTTCATCGGAACTTCAGGAATCTAATCTCGAAGCAAGTCACTAATGAACACTAGATAGTAGTTCAGTTTGGAGGTTTGTAGGGATTTATTGATGAAACAATCGTCCAGTGTTTTCATGCTTCCAATGGTCCTCCAATTGATATCAGTTTGTAGTTAATACAAGCTTGAAAACAATAAACCACCAGGTACCTTACAAGCTGAATCCCATTTTATTTTGTGTATTAGAAGTATCACCTTGTGAAACGGTGTTATTTACTGGATATGGTTTAAGATACAACTTACAACCTGTAGTTATATTAAAAGTGGATTTTATTCTATCATGGAGTTGAAATGCTATGGCTTTAATAATAACTACACAAAGAATTTGCAATTTTAAGGAGTGGCACGAATAAAAGCCAGATTTTATCTACAAAACCACTACAATATTCATTTACGATACCATATTGATACTGAACATTACGCAACATGACAGAAACATTAAGAAAATGAGGTAGGCGAAAAGAAAAAGACTTCGTCATGAAGCAGGTAGTACTTAAATTCACGAAAAATGGGCTGAACTTTCATAGTTAAATCTGATAGCTACTCAGTAACACTTCAGTGTCCAGGTATTACGTAACGTATCTGATCCTTAACAATCAATCAACCAACCAAATTTGAATGGTATCACGCCAAAATCAAGTACTCCATATTCCTGGGCATTGAGAAATATTTAGTTTTTCAATGTCATTCTAATTAGCATGACTAGGAAATCGGGAGCTTTTGTACCATGAAAAGTCTCCTGGCAAGTAATGACATAAGAAACACACCCGTCACACAGTGAGTGGCTATCGTGACTCAGTGGACAACACTTTAGCGTTTGAAGTGGTCGGTCCTGGGTTAGAGTCTTGGTGGGAACGGGATCACTCACTGGGAGGCAGATGCACCTAGCTGACGAGTCCCGAACATGACGAAACCCACGTTCTGGATTCCACTGGTGGCCACTACTCATCATAGCTATCTCCTTACTACTTAGTTCTTTCTTCAGCTCATAAAAGGAGGTGGTAAAATGAAAATATTTATTTTAGCTAAGCACTTCACGTGTGCATGTACCTATTTGATGCTGTAGCAAATACTTATGGTTAACAGTATGTTTGTGCCAACTATATGTTTGCGAATATTGGACCAAAATAATGTGTATGTGTGTGTGTGTGTCAGCTTATTTGCTGCTGTGCAGCCAAATACACTGGCCGTACCATGCATCGGCTTATGCAACGCGCACGTGAACACTATCCAAGCTGACCGATAAGGGGAAAACGCAAAGGCATCTTTAGCTCTGTAAGAGAACACTTAGTGAGCTAAGAATATTCAGCTCCTTTTGATGAATCTTTCAAAATTGTGTATTAAGTGTGAGCAAGCCACTCGAAAGGAGTAAGGTTAAGACATATGGGCATAGCTGAAGCATCAGTAATTCAAAAGTTAAGATCATCACTGCACATTTAAAAAAGTATGCACAACCTCTTGCTTTGCCATAGCCATTCCAAAGGATTAATTACTCTAGATAGAATTAATCTAGCACTCATTGATGGACTTAGCTTTGGGAGGTGATTCCAGAAGTTTCAATGAGCAGTCGTGGCCAGTGGAGTCAACCAAGTTAAACATGAGGACAATTGCTCCGCGACGACATTGGATGTAGGTCGCGCTACATCGTGAACTGATAAGAGTAGGAAATATGGATCATCTGGTCGCCACCCAATGGCTCAATGGTAACCTACTGGTCACAGAAATCGAAGGTCTTGGGTCCGACCCCTGGAGAGGTCATGGGTGCACACTGCTGAGTCCCACACTAGGACGAAACGGGTATTCAGTGCTCCCATGTTTCTCCAATTGGTGTCATCCCATGGTGAGTTCCAACCTAAAATCAATTAATAAATCTCTACAAACATCCAGATAGAATTTTTAAATTTCCTTACTTTAAGTACCTATACACAATTTATCTTTGATCGGAAATTACTCTACAATGTTCTGTCCTTCCTACTAATTGTTCATGAGTTCGTCGAGAAGAAATTTTTTTTATTTTCTGCAATCATCTCTTTTCTTCTATGATCAAATAGGTTTGTTCTGATATTCTCTGAGTTGTAGTTCTCACTGGAAAGACATGTATCATCATCAATGCGGAGATTTACTCGAATTAATCGAATTTAACTGAATACTTAAACTCACTCCGTATACAATTTACTTGCATTGAAGATTTCTAATTAGTGTTTATGTGCTAAAAGGTTATCAAATATTTGCTATAACATGTAGAAACAAAACAAAACCCTCGGATAATACCTACTTGAGGTGTAATATTACTCAGGATAAAAGTTTGACTCATAGCAGCATGACTTTGACGATGATTGCCTGCAGCAGCTAAATGACCACGATCATATCCAGAACGAAAATAATCATCGTTTGTAGAACGAAACATTTTAATCTCACCCAAGTCTTCGTAGAAATCAAATTTCTCACTGTTTATTTTTCATTTCAATTTGGAAAATAAAGTCAAATGCTTATACATATATTGGCTTTTTTCAAAAAACATAAAATGCTCACTAAACATGAATAATATAAAAGAAAATTAAATTAAGTAATCCAAAAGTGTCCGCCTACTTCAAATAAACAGTATATTGTTTCAGGGTTTTCTAAAGATGATTATAAGGTTTAAACTAGAGATTCGTCAACGAATCAACATTGGCTGAATAAAAGTTCATTTCAGTACTGTACTCCCTCACCAGCTACATACAGCTGGTAACAGTAGATATTAGATTGATGGAACCTAAAGAATTTTATCAGAAGAGGTTTGCTCAGACTTAAACCTTCCTTGCTCATGTTACAGTGCTGGTGATGGGACATTATTTCGACTTACTATTATACTTATTTATCCATATCTCTTTTAATTTCCACGTAAATATAGTGATAAGATGTTTGTTATTTACTTACGACTACCAATCTTTAAATGCATTTCTTCAATAAATAATACGCTATTCCTATAGCACTCGCCACGCGTTTTAACCTCAGCTAGACTCTTTACGCTAATCTCATTTTCACTTGACACACTTCACCAACTACTGGCTATCGAAACCACGCAACTTCGCTTCCTACGGGCGAACATTCCGTTCTCTAAGAACAACTAAGTGTTGTTTAATTTAAGTTGATGTCTAAAAGCGGGAAAATAAATAAGATCAACATATATCCAGGCGTTACTGAGTAACGATCCAAGTTGTCACGCCTCATATCACTACATCAAACGAGAAAGCTGAAAGACTGACAAACAAAATCAACGTAGAAACTCCTACACAAATGTATCGGTTCAAGATGTCACGCTTTACAGTAACACACAAAGAATCATCATGTGAGTAATGTTGAGGTCAGGGGAAAGGTACTAGGCAAAATAGGCAAGTCGACTGACGAGATTGTGAAGCTTAATCGAGTGAGATGGCTTGAACATGTACTGTACGTGCCGAACCACTGCCTACCTTGATGTGCCAAGCTAGGGGAAGTTGAATTAGGATGGAAAAGTGTTCAGCGTGGTCAGACCAAGATCTGGCACCAGTCGATAAAGCCCCTGACTGTTAGCTTGAGCCGTGTGGGGAGAAGTAGACTGTCTGGTTGGGGTCTCCAAGACGAAAAGAATAAGTGGTTGAGGACTGACTCTTGGTGATATGGCTGAAAATCGGTGACAAGGGCACAGACGTATTCACTTCTTGACAACTTCTAAAGCTTGAATATTCACACTAACCGTTATCTTCAGATTGTTTATTCTCTCACACGACTTTATCTACGCTGTTATAATTCTTTTTCTTTGTATGTTACCGTGAAGCGTGACATCTTGAATCGAAGAACTTGTGTGCGAAGTTCTACTTTGGTTTTACCTGTCTGTTTGCACCAATTCGATGTCACTTTAACTGTGACAATCCATGGCAGTGGTAAAAGATAATGAACGCTAAAATGCATGCTCCATGGTACATGTTTAAAAAGCTGGATGCTTGCTAATTCAGAACGTCCAATTTATTTTAGCTTAACCAACACTGCAGTGGCGAATATCAGTTATTGGTACAGTATGATTGTAATGCCCTTGAAGCAAACAAGATAAATTGTATATTGAAGAAAATGGGTGAAAACAACAGAAAAGTGGTGAAGTTGACAAGTGTACGGAAAGCACGGAAATTCTAATCGCACGACGACATTTCACGAGAATGTAAGAAACTAATTGTTTTACACTTGTTTCTGTAGGGATAAATGGGTAAGGTAACCGTAATCACTGGGTGATTTACTTTGACATTTGACCATACTACTTATTAGTAAATGATATTTTTCGCCACAATTTCCTTAGCTTTCATAGGTTGGTATTCAATCATATTGAATTTTTAACATTTACCGACTGTGGTTTGTTCATCAACTCCAGGCATTATTGAATACAGAGAACTGCTCATGATTACTCGGAGAAATCAAGTCTTCTTTTCAAATTCAACATTTTGAAATCACTGTTAGACAGATACTGTTAATTAACTTCACATTCTCATTTAGTGTCTCATTGAAGCACAATGTATCTCTTTCAAGTGATAGAAGGTTTCAACACAATTCTCTCTGTAGTTGGTTCGGTAGAAAGCTTACGTGTCCACGGGTGTGTGATGTTATGATAAATATTTTTCTCAAATGTATAATCTTTACGTTTTATGCATAAATGAAGGAGTTTCACCGGGTAACTCTCCTCATACTTCATCACGTATCCAAAATCGTCTGTTTATCCCTTTGTGTTCGGAATTATCTTTCCTAAAGTAAGAAAATGGTACATCATGGGTGCTGAGGAATGCACCACATAAAATGATTTAAATACATTAGGAAGATACTAAAAGGAAAGGAGGTTAGGGAAAGGCAGAAGTCAGAAGTTAAGTGAATTGTCAACGAAGAATTCTTAAGGATACATTCAAGAAAATGTTCAGTACTTGCATTTTATTTTTTAATGACAGAAGAAACAAGAAGGTGTCCATTCTGATCCATGTCTAATATCATCTTAAACCACAGAGTTGTATGATCTCTCGGAACTCCACAGAATTACCAACAGATGCTAAACCAATTCAACTATCTTTCATTTAAAGCCCTTACTCCTTACAACCAGTTCCAGGGTTAGCAAACAGTGGACGGAAAGAGAGTCTCTGGAATGTTAATCGTAATGCACGTCACAGCTACTCAAGCCGCTGTCCCAAGATGACATCGCTCAATGAATTACGACTTCCTTCATGTTCAAACACACACCACTCCGTCTTACAATTACTGACATTACGTTTTTACAAGAGGTAAAAAAGCTTTTAGAGATAAGGGGTGATGGTAGAAGAAATCATCAACATGCTCAAGCAATAGAAGTCAGGTTTCACTGGCGTAAGGAAGAACCGCACGCACTGAACACTCCACAGTCACAACAATGTCATGGATGACCCAACTGGCATATGCTACGCTGAATTTTGATATGCAGATGGACATCTCATCATTACGTTCAGTTTTGTGAAATGCTTTGCATTTCAATGATGCAAAGCACATGCTATACTTAAGGGCAGTGACTACTAACCGATCAAGTGCGATTTGAGTAGCTTGTATGTTGTCATACCATGAGACGATAACGCCTTGATATTCAAGGTCCGAAAGGACTCCGCCCGGTAGAATATATGCGAATACTATATACATCATTCTGAATTGTTTTGGGACTATTATTGACGGGTAAGTTATATAGGAATGGTGATATCACAAAACCCTACGCAACCTCATTATCGGTTTATAGAGACAGAAGTAGGTCTATCCTTTACTCTGCATACAGGACGTTCTGCATGTGAAATAAATTCTCAGGGATATTCTTCTGTAACTGATAGTTTCAAGGTATAGTCCTGTCTAGTAAGTCGGAGGCAACCAATTGCCCACGAAATCTAAGAAAAACTTAGGAACATCACTCTGGGAGAAAATTCTAGAAAAAAATTCAGTTTAATGAATTGCAGATTTCATTACGTGAGTAAGATTTAATATTATCCTGGAATACTAGAGATGGATAGTGGCCAGCAATAGAAACCAGGATAAACATTTCGTCCTACTTGGGACTCGTCAGCTGGATGTACCTGCCTCCCAGTGAGTGATGTTGCTCCCACCGGGACTCGGGAGCGATCGCCTCAAACGCCAGAGTGTTATTCACTACACCACCGAGCCACGATAGCCACTTCTTGTGCGACGGTTATAGTTTTAGCATTATTACTGACGAGTCCTTAATAGGACGAAATGTATGTCCTGGTTTCTATTGCTGGCCACTATCCATCTTTACCACAATTAGAACACAGGTAATATCGAGGCATGCGCACAGGAGCTCATATGCTAATAGAGACTGATCAATTCGGTCCAATCAACGACGGTATAATACAAACAATTATACTAAAATTACCTTAGAATGTTTCGAAAATCAAAAAGAAACTTTTCGTAACGTTTTTATGTGCATGCCACAGCTTCTTCAGCGGAACATTCAAATTTTTAAGAAAAACCGAATCAAACGAGAGAGCAATGAGAAGAAGAATCGGCCGAAAGCAGTATAATAATGGAAGGAATAAGAAATTACTGAATTCAGTATCACGATTAACATGAGTGTAATGTGTGAATACACCTGAACAACTGAGATCGGTTGGGGGTACAGCACCTAGATTTTTCAACCATAAATGGTTTCTGCTGTCACGAGGACCCCAAACGGGAAGTTTGCACTCACTAACTCGGTTCAGACTAACTGTCAAAGACTACATTCAGTGATGACACTCTTTAGTCTGGTTGCCCAAAACCTTTTTCTAGCCTGAACCTACTTCAACCAACATTGTGCAACGAGGTAGACGGTGACTAGACATGCGCAACATAGGTCCCAGCCACCTGAGCCAACGAAGGTTAGCAATATCAACTGACCTTCCTCTCCTCCCTAAAATTGTACACCTGACTTTGACGTTACTCATGTGGTGACATCACGACATACGGTCGTGTTTTTAAAAAAAGTTTACGTTACACTGTGTAAATATATCTAGGTTTGTACGTACCTTACTTTGTAAAAAGCACTATATGACTTACGAATCAGAAACTCCTACCCCGACAGCATGGTCGACCGTCAGTATATCTAAATACAGGACACAATGAGGGTGCGAAAATTCCTTCAACCGTACAACATCTTCATCTTGCTTTACTGGTCCATTTAGGACAGAAATTTAGGGCAAACGTTGTGTCAGCCACTTACACTTGAGAATTACGACTTTAAAATTTCAGGAGTTTATATCACAAAATATTTCAAATTCATGCTTTTTTTCCTTTCCAACCGACTTCAGTCAGTGTGAACTAATTTTATTCTGGGTACATGGCCTACGATAATGGTTTTTCATCCTAAAAATATATATGGCTTTAGCTGTTACCTGCTTTTCTGTGTTTAGACTTGGAAACAGTCAACACAAGGCAAAAAACTAGTTAAAAGCTCTTATAACCTACATTGGGTCTTCGATAGGTAAATTTCCAAAAGGGCTATCGACTTCAGTAGAAACGGCCTTGTTTCTTCATTGTAGAGCATAATTACTGGTCATATCTTGATACTGAGATCTGTGAAAGACTGAATCAGATTACTTTGTCCAGTTTATTGTTTAAGCTCTAGTAAAAAGGAATGGCTACTTTCTAGGTTAACAGACACCGCAAAAAGTACCATGAACCAAGTTGTTTGTTTGAAAATTAAGATAGTATACTCTTTACAGTGTTTAAACGTACAGCATAAATCGTTCATTGAGCATTCGATGGATGAACTTCTGTTCATAAGTCTTGTATAAATTGGAAGTTCATTTACCACAGATTGTTAGTCAGTTTCAAAAAGTCCTGAATAAAAATATCCTAGACATATATATAACTTGGAGTGATTAGCTTCAGCGGTAACCCACACTTAATACTTTGCAGTCAACTCCTTCCAATCAATAGAATTAAAAGACTGTATAAAAGTGAAGATATATGCACGATATTAAACAACTATCTTGTTTTATTTTTTCTCAGGTGATAAATAACCGAATCATGTGAAAAATGATGGAAGAAAACGTCATTAAGAGCTAATTCCTAAATAAGAATAAAAATCATACCGATCAACTCCAGCTTTGGTGATATCTTCTTGATTTAGTTTAGCAGGATTCAAATGTTCCATTACCCAGTAAGGAATTCGATTACGACGATCATATGCACATATATAACCCTCGAAAACACGAAGATGACTTGAAAGCGGTACTCCCAAAGTATGAACTGCTTCATTATTTATTACAGAGCTGGGAATATTTACATTAGAAGGATATAGTACTTCAGCTGCATTCACGGGTTGTGCGAAAGATGTGACATTTGTAGCCTTTGATTCTTGACTGAAATGGGCGGTAACGACTGCACCGAATGTAATATACAAACCAGCTTTTAAAACCTCATATTTGCTCCAGTAGCGGTGTATGCGATTTAGATAAGAGTGCATTTCAAAAAGCACTGAAATAGGACTTCATAAAACAAAAAAACTACTTTAAGTATGGTGAAAAGAACTTATATCTGTGGTACAAAACATAGTAGAACTTGGAAATAAATGATGCAACTCAGTAAATGCACACAGGTTTGCACAACATCCAGATAAGATGTACAATATAGCTGAATTAAATAATGATATATCTATTTCTTTCATCATACAGCATCATCTTATGATATTAGACAAAATTGTATTACAACGGTGCTGTCAGGCTGAACTCCAGTCTAACCTTATCTCTCAGAAACCATGAACATTTTTATGCATTGGGAAATTAGTCACATCTACTGCTCGAGGACTGATGATGCTTCCTAGACCTCGACAGTTGGAGTAGGGTTCGAATCTATCACCCATAAAAGGAGACACGTGATTGGACCAATGAACCATATGTTCACAATTTTCACTTTAGTCGAAAATTTGAATTAATGATTCGACTTTTCATTACTAATGGGTGATATGAGAATAGTTATCTACTATCCCCATTATAGTTGTCTCACTAAGTTAGTGAACAGATTAAGTTAACAGTCTTTAGTGATAGGTAGCGACTTTGGTGAAATGAACAGGTGAATAACAAAGTGGCTTCATTCTGAGCATAATAAGATGCACTTCATTTGCCATACATATATTGGTGATAACCATACCTTCTGTGACTGTTAATTATAATACTCAATGTATGGAACGTTGTAACCATACTTGGATGAATGAACCCATGGTTCTGAATCGAATATTAACACTGTTAAACAAAAAGGTAGTGATATGAAAATACTTTCAGTTCGGAACATTAATTATTTTTCACAAGGAAAAACCAAACTGAAACTTCGACACATCCATATAAGTTTGAGAACACGAAGACTCGATATGTTAGTTGAACGAAAACTCGCTGAGTCTACTATACATCTACAGACTGTAGTTGTTCTGTAACCTACCAAAAAGATGTTTTAGTTACACATTGGAAACCGCTTCCAAGATCAAAATACCAACATAAGTAGTGACGCCTCTAGAGATAACATTGATGGAAGCGATTCGTACACAGCAGTACTAAAATACTGGTTTACATAGCGACAGGATATTAGTAACTAAAGTGGACTACCATAAAGTTTAAGTTAGATATGCCGAAAACAAATTAGTTGGATATAGTTTCGTATCAAAGTCATGCATATCAAAAAATGACTAACCGATACCTGGAAAACGTTTTGGTAGAACACGTCACAATAAAAAGTGTAAATATTACACCACTTAACTGGAAGACAGATGGACTACTAAATACTGATGTTGGTAAGGGGTCGTACGCTGTGTAGGTACCAAGTTCAGTTACCATGGGGATAAACTTTTTTGACAGACTTTAGAATACTGGTGAAATCGGACATCTTAGTTGTGAATTGGGAATTCAATCAAACTGAGACAAAATTTAAAAGAAAACAATTTATTTTAGTACTTTTTTGAACAAAGTTAATGAACTTGTACATTAAATTTGTGTTGATGAGAAAATGGTTTGTAGGTTAAAAAATACAAAATGTATGATACATCTCTGAAGTTGGAATAAGCACATAAAACTAGCCGAGCTGCATACGTTTTTCTTGAAGCTTGACCATTTGATCAACATTAGGTATAGTTTTCATTTTCCTAACTGAAGAGGAAGATCCTGGCACCGACTTAGTTACTGAAACAGCATCATTCTGATTGGATGTCCGCTGTGCAACATGCTCACTGTAACTAAGAGGTGTGCACGGTTTCGAAGATCGAGAGGAAAGAGAAATTCCACTGTCGCTACTTCGATTAAGCTTACCAGAGGTGGTTGAAAATTGAGGACGCTGTGAGCAGATATCTTCACTAATAACTATGAAAAATGGAACAAACATCTTTGGTTAAAGACGATACAAAGTTTAATTATCGAAACCGGAAAAATAAAAAAACAAGACATTCATATCCTAAGAGTAAAAGATTGTACCCTTAAAACATAGATAAGAGCAGGAAAGGTTGTCTGGTTTGTGATTACGGGAAAAATTACTGGGAATTACAACCCGAAAAGGCTAACTTTAGTGGATGAATCTATTAGTCAATTTGTTTTTAAAAGCTGTGCATTTACATCACATCATTTGTAGTATTCACTCTTCGAAAACAGTTTTCGATGACCATTTTGTAAATCGCCTTAAAACAGATTTTAGGTCTTGATTTAAACGGTTATTTAGTCAACTGTTCCACAAACAACTGAAACTCAGAGGTCAGTTACTTTGTTGCGACTTTCATCTACATCGGTAATATCCTCAGTGTTAGCAGTGCAATAAACTCTTGTTTGGCACTTAAGGTTCATTTGATCGTTATTGCTTTGGTAATATAGATTATTATTTCAAATAGTTGTTGTTGTTTTTAGACTATAATAGTATTTGAGAGCGTTTTGTGACCGCAGTTGAGGTAGATTTCATCAACCTTGCTATAGTTAGAAATCCACAAGTGAGTGCCATGAAGTTCATATTTTAATGTGTGGGTCTTTACAAGGTTATGAAAATTTATCGACGTATTTTATTTTTTGGTACGTCCCCTGGAAATCGAAGAGACATTAGCGCTGCTCAAGAAGCTATGACTGCACAATAATAATGAGTGTCTATATGGAATGAAAGCCATTAAATTTGTGTAAAGCGAAGGCATTTATTAGAGAAACTGAGGTTGACAAAGAATCCATGTGAAACTTGATAAAACCATACATCAGTCCAACTCACTAAACAGTAAACAATAGGTAACCAAACGGAAATGAAAATATTAAATTGAAGAAAACTAGCTGGAGAAACCGAACAGTGGGTGAATATATCTGAATCACTGCAGAATAGACTTCAACGGTTGTTAGCAGGTTGGTAACCGACGTACAATTTCAAATACTACACTGTAGTTCCCAACCCAATAGCTGTGAAAAACGACATTGTAAGTAGAGGACATGAAAAGGCTTTAGGTTCTCGACCACCGTTGCCTTCGTAGCACTGGCCGTGCGTCCTAATGCTACCGAGGTCAGGTGTAGAGAGGGAAGTCAGTTGATGAAGTTGTGAACCTTCATCGGCTCAGGTGGCTTAGGTATGCGTTACTCATGCCTAGTTACCGTTTGCTTCATCGGGCTAGAGGTGGTCAGACTGAAGCAGGGTATCACTCCCCGAAGTATTTGACTGATGATCTGAGCTGTAGACTCTTGAGTTGGGGTCTGCGTGACAGTAGTAACCAGTGGTTGGAGAATCTAGGTAACATAGATTAGAATCGATCTCAGTGGCGCAGGTGTATCCGCACATAGTTATCCTGAATTTAGTATTTTCTCCTTCTTCTTTCCTCTCCTTTTACTAGTTTCTACCACCTTTTACTATCTTTATTCTTGACCTTTCATCTTAGCGTTCTCGCGTAATATTCTGAAATGTGTGGTACACTGTACCATTACGCAGTAATGCCTGGTTCTACGTTGGTTTTGTCTATCTGTGTCTGAGTGACAGCAGTTCAGAAGATGAAAAATAATGGTATTGAAGTAGAGCAATGTAGATGAGAGACCAACATATGATTAGTGGGATTTAATGGGATTGTGAAACCTTAAGTAAACAGTCTACATCTTTCCACAAGGCTCAAACGAATCCGATAATTCATGGATTAGTGATCCACTTTTATTTTTCTTCGATCCACTTTGACTTCGAGTAATATATAAGTGAGTGGTAATGTGAAATGTACAGCTCATTCTGACCATATCAGTTACTGTAGGTTCCTAATTTCGTTAACCAGTTTGTCTCAGCTTGTATTCAAACAGTATCATTGCTGGCATGATGGTCCTATCTCATGCAGGTTTTTCTACAGAAATACTTATAACTGGAATCATCATCATTTATCAACAAAGAACCGGGCATTACTACGAAACGGTCCGAGTTGCCACAGCTCATCTCATATCAGAGCTGTTGGTGCTGGATTCAAGCCTTCCTAAAGTTATGGGTGAGTACTAACAGGCAGCACCAAACCAGAACAAAACATCTGTTCAGTGCTCTAACGGTGTCAGTAGTTTTCCAACTGATGTTAATTCATGAGGAAAATTACCTTCGGATCAGTAAATCCCTCCAAACTAACAATTTAAGTAGTAACAGATAAGGCAAGAATGTAAAATGCTCATTTCTAGGCCATGAAGGGAGCTCGTTGACATACAAAACGATATGATTATATAATGGAACTCGGAAAGAGCATTAAACCCAAGATCGTTTCTGTTTCATGTTTCTCAAGAATACGTTTCTAGTATCCAATATGTTCTACCAAGATTTTAGCTTTTCGGTATGCAGAAAGTAAGTAACTAGTACATTAATTATGTAGTCAGACTAAATTTTATTTTACCGATCATACCATCTAAAATATTAGACAGTCGCCAATGGTTATTGCAGTGTACTTATCAAACTCAGACGTCAATCATCATCATCATCATCAATATCAACATACGACCAGGCATTACTGCATAACGGTCCGAGTTGCCACAGCTCATATCAGTACACTGAGTAAAAAGGCAGTGAGGTACAAGATGAAGATAAGAAAATCCAGTCAAAAGAAATATATAGTGCGAAAACAGAGGAAGGAAGAATGAGATGGTGAGATTCGGTATAGCGTCGTTAAAATGAGGGTAGTGTGTGTATACATCTGCACCACTGACATCAGTTCTGAGATATATCACCCACATTCTCCAAATATCGGTTCCTCCTGTCCCACGGACTCCAACCATCCAGTCTGCATCGCCCCACATGGCTCAAACCAACAGTTAAAGACTTCATACATGTTTAAGTTTGGCCACCTCGGGTCCTTTTCCAGCCTGGACCTACTTCAGGCAACATTGTGTGACGAGGTAATCGGCAACTAGACACATATAACACGTGTTCCAACCACCTCAGCCAATCAAGGTTCATAACCTTGTCAACAGATTTACCTCTTCTCCCTAAAACTCTACACCTGACTTCTGCGTTACTGCCGTGGTAACACCACAGAATACGGCGGCCTATACTACGAAGGCAACGGTGGTCAAACACCTGAAGCCTTATCATGTCTTCCACTTTCAATGGCCATGTTTCACAGCCATACAGTAGAACAGACCAGCTACTGTGCAGTACAAGCCACCCTCATTGGACAATCGGATATCACGGCGGTGCCACAGATGGCGTGAGTTGGCGAAAGCCAGCTGAGCCTTTTGTATCCATGATGAGATCTCATCGGCCACTGAGCCACCAGTCCAGGGCTGATCCTACTTCCCAGGTAAGTGAAGTGGTCAACACACTCAACCACTACACTCTCTATTGTTAGCCGAGGCACCGTTGAAAACCAATCCTGGAGCAACAATTTGCATTTCGGTGATGAGTAACGCATCCCAAACATTCTCAAATTCCCACTCAAAGTGTTCAGAAGACTCTGCATCTTGTCAGCGTCTTCACCTAACAGGACTATGTCATCCGCATATTCTGTCGAACGAAAATTCTCTCGCAACTACGTCAACGTCTATGCAATCAGGTGATGAGAGGAAGACCTCCATAAGAATATTTATGATAAAATTGAACAAGAATGAAGACAGTGGGCAGACCTGACGGACACCCTCGATGAGCATAGCTCCCTGGACATCTCACCATAGGCTCTAACACACAACCACTAGTGTTTGAGTAGAGACCCTTCAATAAGGTGATGTACTTACTCAGCACGCCTTTCAGTGAGAGACATTGCCATAAGATTTCCTGATCAATGGAGTCGAATGCCACCTTTAGGTCGATAAATACAGCTAGTGTCGGGCGTCGGTAGGTGTGCCTGTCCTCCAAAACCTGGTGCAGTGTGAATATTTAGTCAATACACCCACGGCCGGGTCTAAAGCCTGCCTGGTTTTCTCGGGCTTGCTGTTCCCGAATTCTCCTCAGGCGTTGAAGAATTATTGAACATAAAATCCTAGACACTATGTCAGGCTGATTCCTTTGTGGTTAACACAAGGGGACTTCTTGCCTTTCTTAAAGACTGGGATAATCAGTGATTTAGACGAGTCAGAGGGGATCGTATTTGGTTTCCATATACTGGTTAACACTTTCATTAACCTGACTGGAGGCATGTAGCTTACTTGTTATCCAACTTTGCCCGGCATATTTAACACTTACGCAGAAAAATAGAGCGATCTACTGTACTGCACTTTCATTTGTACGTAGCGAGATGTCACCGACGTTGGTTTACGACAATGAACATGGAAATGTCGTCCAATTTTATCAGGCATGAGCTACGTACAGCGTCAAAAAGACATTTAACCGCCTATCAAAAGGGGTGGTGTGCTGAAACACCATCTAACATAATAAATGCTGCCTTCAAAATATCGCTCGCAGAAAAAACCCAAAAGGACAATACCGAGCTCAGAAATGGAGTTCGGCGGAATAAAAAAAGTCTAATTAGTAAGTTGCTGAGAACAACCTAATTAGTTGTAGCAAACGACATACATTTAACCATCATTGCCCTTGAAAGCAATGCTCACTAATAGCAGTAAGGTGAAAAAGCCTTAAGGTAGTACATCTAGAGTGATATGAATTCACTGACTCGGTGTCGTATCGGTAATCACGGAATTTATGTCCAGGAACCCGTCATAGTCAGATGATTACGTTTGGCTATCATATTTCCCTACTCAGAGATCTTTCTTCGTCCAGGACACTCAAAAGAACTGGTGAAATCTTCCTCAAACCCATGTTGTGGACAATAATCCAGTGGGTGTTCATCTTAAGAAATATGAACATCACAGACCATCTGTACTGAACACTGATGAAGATTATTACTTGGAAAATCTACTTCATTTCTACGCTGATAAACGAACCAACACTATTCAGATATGAAGTTTGGGAACTTTGATAGTTTACGCAAGATTTCACGAACTACTCTTCTGAACGACGTTACAACCTGACAAGACAAGGTAGGTGAAGAAAGATCCGGATAAGGTAAGTGATTCTGTTTTAGAAATAGTATTGATTTTGGGTAACCCACAGGCTGCTGTCCTCAAACTTAAGAACATGTGCATAATTACTGGATAGCAATGGGAAATGACTTAAGGTTAGCTGGACTATCAAATAAGTTCGGCGAACCCGAATAACAAGCAGTACCACGTCTCAAATGCATCAAGTCATGAAACGCCTAAATCAATCCCAAATTTATATAAACTGAACCGTTATATCAGAGAGATTCACTTACTTCTCTTCATGTCATCTGCTAAATATCGTGGTAGCATGTAGTTGTTCTGAAAAAGATCATCGATAGGAGACTTTTCGATGATATCTGATTGTGTCAAATCAAAGCCATAGGATGCATTGCTTGTAGGTACGGATTCACTACCTGCGTGGGAAAAATTAATGCTTTCGGACGTGGTTTGTGCGTCGACTTCATTCCTATGATCCATGCCAAACAACTCATCAAGAAACCCGCGTACTGTTTGTGACTCTTCAGAAGCACTGTCATTCACTTGTTTGCATACTAGAACTGCAATAGAAAAAACATTGACTTACGGGATAACTGCAGATCTGAATATGTTGAAAAAGGAAAAGAACAACTTTCCGAAGGGCAGATACCATTGATAGAGCCTGCCGAAGACTTAATCTTCAGCAAAGGGACTGAAAAACCAGATAGTGAGCAATGAGGACAGAATTCCATCATCTCGTGACAGAGTTTTGTGGTGACCGCTTTTTCAACCTCCAATATCCAACACCATTCAACATCATTAATACGAATTGAGGAAACTTGTGTTTTTGGACTGTCTCTGCTAGTTCCTGAGGTTTGGTCCTTCTTACTTACGTATGTTCCTTCAGTGGTCTCAGAAGTCTCCACAGTTAGCTAAATATGAATATCAGTCTGATATCTTAAACTCTAACTTAGCTTCCGTTTTCTATACGAACCATTTATTCATGTTCAAAGCGTCCCCTGCAAGTGATCCGTACAGCTGTCAACTGAAGGTTGAGATAGCTGGAAACCGCCTCAAACTGGGATCTGATTGTTATGCAAAATGTGAAGTAGGATGCTACTTTCAATACACATCAAAGACTTACCAGTTTTAATCGTCTTCTTGAGAGGCTTATCGTGTTGAATGATAAAGTTCACATTTTTTCACCAAAACCATAGCCATGGAGACAAGTGTATGTAGCTTCGGACAATTAGCTGATACATTATCTATAGGTGGCAGATCTACTCACACCTGATGTATGGACCGTTAGTTACTGCTATAAATAGACGTTCAGAGGCTATTCACCCTGAACAATTAGATCAAGAACCTGAAGAATGCAAAATGGAATCGAATAGCCTATCGTCACGTTATTTTCTCAGGTTGTTATGACCTGTTTACTTATTATAGCTCCCCGTTGTGTTATTAGCCATAGTGTACGCCGACCTCACAACTCTATCGGCCCTCACTTTCCCCAGGCCAGTCTCAACGTTCCGCATACCTGCCTACTAACCTTCTTTTATGTATGCCAGCCAACAATCCCACCTTACCTTGGATTCGTTCTAGCTCTTCAGCTCTTCAAAAAGGTCCGAGTTGAAGGAATCGCATCAACGCCCTCCTGAAATTGCGCTCCAAAATACAAATCCGAAATATTCACCCCTGTGGTTTCTGGAGATTCAGTGGCTAGTTCTCACGGCTTCACAATGTCAGGTATAACACAAGGCCTCAAGAGGGAATGTGCACCTGTAGCGTCACACACTTCCCCAAAATCAATAGCCTAGGGTTTGACGACTTCGACATTGATGCTGACCTTGATAGTTTAACTGGACTCGCTAAGCTGAAGGCATCCGGTCAAGCATCCTCGCCATTTGGCACGCTGTCGTGTTACGTTGCATTGCTCGTACTCGACTCTCTAGCCAGTTAGTTGGAACGCATCGGTATTTTGGCACAACTATCCAAATATACTATTCCATCCGACTACGCTATCGTGTTCTTCCTTGGTCTCGTATTCGTGGGTATATAACAAGTTCGAATAATTAGTGATTGGTCTTTGCGTCTGTCAAATTCGCACCAGGACAAATCCTAAACACCTCTCATATGAAACCCAACTGGAACTTGCTTATGCGTTGTTCTTTTAAACAGCATAGTGATGAGCTAAAGGATGGTAAAACCAGCAGTTGTCTTTCTTTAGTCTCTGCTTATGCACCAACAGGAGGAGCGAAATGTCAATTTCACCGTAAACTGTCTGGCCCTCTGATGATGGCTAAACATTCAGACATGGTAGTTGCGACGAGTGATTTCAGTACACAGGTCGACAGGCTAAATCAGGTTAAAAGGCACTTAGGCACCACCGTCGGAATTCCAACCAAACAAACATATAAGTGACCGCCCGTTACAACGGTGCTCAGATAACCACTTAAACTTGGGCGCCAAAAACTTTAGGTATGAGGAAAGACGTTGTGTAACCTGACAGCCACCGACTTCAACTTGTCAATGAGGGCAGAAGGATCACATCGTTTGCAGTCTGCTGGGGCAGATCAGTGGAAGACTGCCGCTTCTTCTAAAGCACATATTTGGGCAATAACCACCTGTAGACTCGAGCTCGTGTATGTTTGTGCCTGAAGGGAAAAAGAAAGAAGTACAGAAACAAGATCACTACAAGTGTGCCTTTACAATGAGGGCAATAAGGCTGATTTCATTGGGAAGCCGGTTAGATAGTTACCGGAACAAAACGACATCATCCATGCTGAAGAAATTTGGTGCAGTCACCAATCTGTCGTAAAAATCAGCAATGAAGACCGTAGTCGACTCTCAGAGAGTGGTTAGAAAGGGCCAGTGTTATAAAAGTATGATGCTCCAAGGAGCAGTTCAACTGGTCCATCGCTACTATTCCATCATACGCTATCCAATCGGGTCCCCAGTAGAACATCGAGTTTAAATGTCTAACACTTACAGTGGTCTCCCAAAAACACCTACAATGTAATCTACAGTAGGTCCAACAATCCCGGATCATCATATTCCTGGTGCTACCTTCTGATCTGTGATACGTGCAAAGCTATGGTACATGATATTCACAACAGAGTGTACCAAGCTTGCCATAAGGTTCTGCTATTATTGCTGGTTCTTAGGGCCAAGGATACTTAACAGCCGATAAATACTGTTCAAGGAAGCAGAAACAAAACCTTGGTATGAGGTTTAGCGTTTATTTACAGGGTTACCGCAAGACTGGTGAACAGTTCACAAAGGTGAATGAACATTTCTATCAAAAAATCTTCGAACAGAAGTGTACGAAGCGCTCCGCAATAGCTTTTTGGTATTACACCAACCGTAGCAGTCGTTGGAGAAACCCGATCCTTTATCAAAGAAGGGACTTGTTCGACCAAAGAGACTTGTGTATATCTGATCCCAGCTCTTGAAAAACATCCACAGAAGATTCCATGTAACTGGTAGGTAAGAAGGGCTATTATCAGTGAAAGGCGTCAAGGTTACCGAAAACGTTTATGACATTCGCACTCAGTACAACAAACACCATGAACATAACCGCAAAATCTTCCGTATCTACTACTTTTAGGTCCCCAGAACAATTAGCAGCTAACCGCGATTAAAATGACATGAAGGAAGGAACTAAGTGGTAAACAGAGGTATTATTGAGCTCGTTATCTGACTCCAAATTTCAAAAATGGTGCCAAAATACTACTGATTTTCCGATCGCCCTGAACACTGCAATCCACTTGCATCAGACTGTGTAAAAACAGGAGGTAATGTGTAGGATAAACTGAGATTTCGGATTGCCAAAAACCAACAATCCTGAAATCAAGCGGGAGCGTGTCAACACAGGGCCTTTCCCAGAATACAGACACAGGGAAGAATATCCACAATCGACATGTTAATGCATTATCGGATAAAAGAGCAGTCATTTTTAAAGTTTTTAAATATGGGAGTGGGTTTAGAATATTTATTATCAGGTTGCGATCTTCTTGGAGGGATGTATATACGGGAATAAGCTTTATGAGCGTCCAAGCCAAAAAGTAAGTCTTCGCCATGCTAAAAAATATCGTGAGGTAAGAAAATCAAAATTGCAATACTTAGAATGCGATTGAGAACCATTTGGTCGAGAAAAAGAGAAAGGACTCGGAAATGCATCAAGTCATCCAAATATGTTTCTTTTGAAGTCTGACGAAATCTTAGAACTGTGACTGGGCACGTAATCGGCAGGGTTATGAACAAGGCAATAATGTCGTTGCTAGTAAATGTGATTTCATTACGACTTAATCATTGGAAAATAGCGTTGTGACCTGCAGACTCTTCTTTTGGACCTTGTGCTGTCGCTACCATCACCAGCTAGAGGTGATACTGGTGCACTGTCTCACAGCGGACGGTGGTTTACGGTATTTCCGACTGCTTTATCCAGGACCTAGACTCGGGTTCAGTGATGACTAGTTCCATAAACGCTGACTTGACTCTGCCACTGCCGGCAGTTTCTTGTCTGCCAGGGCGTTCAACCGTAGTAGCATTTTCTGATTTAGTAATTGCTTTGAGAGGTCCTTCACACGGAAGTGGTGACAGTTTTCACGAGCCATCCTGTCAGATAAAAACTTGAATGCAGTCTCAGATGTGCTGAGGTAGGCAAACTTGGTCGTGGTGACATCATAGTGAAGAAGGTTGTGATTTGCTCGTATGGTGCCATAGTTGTTGCACGCAGTTGACCAAGTCCGACTGAGTATTAGTTGCTGGGTCAAAGTACTCTTCAGGGAGGCCCAGGTTGGGTCCATAAACTAACTCGATGACACAGCAGCAAGTGCCCCGCTCGACACTTCGACATATGTCTAGGGGATATGATGGCCATTTTCAACTCTTTTTGTCGTCGGCTTTTACTGCCATCAGTGCGGCTTTTAGTCGTCAATGTAACCTTTCAACAATACCAGTGGGTGCAAGATGGCGCATACTACTTCTTACGCTCCTGATCGACAAACGTCTGGTCGATTGCCGGCACAGACAACTCTTAAATTGTGTACCCTTGCCTATCGTAATGACATCTGGGACACTAAAGTCGGAAATCCAGCGCTTGATCATGCTCTTCTCAACTGCTTCGGTAGATTTGTCATGCAGGGGGGCTGTTAAAATAAAGCTGAAGTCATTTGATGGAATTAGTAGCCCAATGATGTTGATATATATGCAGTCGGATCCGCTGTCTGGTGCGGGATATCTGTCGGTAGGCGAAGGAATATGCCTCTGCAACTTCGATCGCTAGAAAGTTTAACAACCTCTTGACCACTGCCAGGGATCTTGGTTCATATTTGGTTACAATGACCAATAAGTCAGTGACTAACTTCACAGCAGCTCGAACACCGCTGTGAAACATATCATGCGTCTTAGAAAAATCCAATAAACAGATTAGTAGAGACAGAAGGACGTTCGACTCGCGATTAGATGTATTACAGGTGGTGGATTTAGAGTAGTTGAGTGTCAGCTCTTGAGGACTCATTGGGACATTTAGATTAACCTTCAATTACTTTAGATCTCCACCCACTGCCTTAAGCCCAGACATTTTCACTAGTTCAGTATAATCGCCTTCACCACGTGCACGTAAATACGGGACAAGCCGTCAACTGCCTCATTTTTATCGTCTTATGTCCATCTTATGTCGGATGTGGATTGTGAAATTAATTCCAAATGCCCTACCTCTCGTGGTGAAAGATCGTCGCGCTTTACGCAGGTC